AAAAAATATCCTTGGGTGAGGATTGACAACAATAACAAAAAAGAGTTAAATTTAGGATTTCAGGTAATGTAGACTTTGACATACTCTCGGCCATTCATTTTCAAATTGTGTACTACAAACGTAAGATTCTATTTTCATTTTCTAAATGCATTTAACTATGTTAACTGTGATAAAAAATTATAGCAATTTCCTATATGTCAGTAACTGTCTTAAACACTTCATCTGTATTATCTCATTTAATAACAGCAACTTTATAAGGCAAGTTTATTATTATGCCCATCTTACATAGGAGAAAACTGAGACTTAGAGAAGTAAAATCATGGTCTAAGATTTTAAGAATAGTAATTGCCAGAGCCAACCTCTTAATATGCTCTACTGTCTTCCAACATTATATAGAAGCAACTGTTTTCTACCCAATAATTAACTTAAACTACTTAGTTCATTCACTTTCTTACAGTGCTCAGAAATAATGCCTCTCCTGCCATACCTTTGAATATGTTTCAAGTTATTATAAATGTGTTATGGGTTATGAAGGTTGTAGCTCTACACAGATATTTCAATAAACTTATGCCTGCACATGTTGACTCAAGGAAAATTTGACAAGCAAGTATCTACACCATTTGAACCTGTGGGATGTGCATGCAAAGTTCAGACCCATCTGCATGGTGAAAGGAGAACATTTAATTGCACAATAAGAAAAAACATGTGTACCTTGTCTCATTGTGACAATCCTACATTTTAGAAGGCATTCGTGCTTAGTCTAAGTTTGGGCTCCTTCTTATCTTATTTTCGTAGTTAAGAAATATGACTAATAATTAAACTTTGAAACCAAAATGTTCTCTTAATTTCTTCCAGGTTTCTGGATCAATTTGACTGAAAAATATTGAGAGATAGCAAGGCAAGCTGTTAATAAATGTATATCATTTACAATTATCTGTGTGAATCAGGATTTTCTGAATATTTAGCAACCCAAATAATACTATACAGAAATAAACTGCATCAGTTGATGCAAAGCTACAGCTTACCTTTTGTAAAATGTCAGTATACATAAAAACAGCCTCATTTTTCTAATCAATTGCTCTTACATAGTGGAATTTCTCTCTGATAAACAACAGTTTTAAAGCAACTATTCTAAAAACAGTTCTAAGCCAGAAATAAACCAATTAGTTCTGTTGTCTTGGAACAAATGGGTCTTCATGGTCATAGGATTGTAATAGGTACGAGTGTGGATGCTCAGCATAAACTCAAAGATCAAACAATTCAAGCACAGTCCCCTGTGAGAGTGGATGAAGAGAGATTTTGTGAACAACAAAGACAACACTGGCTTTTCCACATTTGGTTACCCTTGTGCAATTCATATTGAAATAATCAACACTTAAAACTCAGTACTACCTCTCTGCTACTAAGATCCAACATAGGTCGTTTTTGACCAGAGATTACAATGAACCCTAGGATTTATCTCAGGAATGAGCAAAACAAAAGAGAAATAGCACTTTGCCAAATGTTCAACAATACACGTGAAAGAGTGATTTCCCCCATGTTGAAAAGTAATTTTTCTAGGAGTTCAAGAGATAAATGTGATTCCATACCTCAAGGAACCAGCTAGCTTTTTTATAGCTAATTAGTCTAATAGTAAACTTTGCCACAGTCATAATCTCAGATAATAAGAAATCTTTAAAGTATTAAAATACCTTTCTGAATGTAATTTAATTAAGTGATCAACATTTAGGGCTTTATTTCTATACCAGAGACCTGGTGCACGAGATTCATGCATGGGGTGGGGGAAGGGCTGTGCCCTCTTGCAGTCCTGGACTCCTTGCTCCTTACCACCTGCCTGCAGCAGAGGCAGGAGAGGCTCCCGTCACCACCGCTGCACTCACTAGCCATGAGCCTGGCTTCTGGCTGAATGGCACTCCCCCTGTGGGAGCGCACTGACCACCAGGGGGCAGCTTCTGCATGGAGCATCTGCCCCCTGGTGGTCAGTGTGCGTCATAGAGACCGGTTGTTCCACCAGTTTGGTCTATTTGCATATTAGGCTTTTATTATATAGGATAGTATTCTGAAGCAAAACAGCCATGATTAGATTCCCAGTGTTTTCAGGTCTTCAAACTAACAGTTGCATAATCATATATTTGTATGTTATTTTTTACCTCTTGTTAGCATCAACTTATTATCATAATTAACTTTAATTGAGTGTTTATTATCTGCTAGGTTAGGGGTGGGCAAACTTTTTGACTCGAGGGCCAAATGGGTTCTTAAACTGGACCGGAGGGCCGGCACAAAAGCATGGATGGAGTGTTTGTGTGAACTAATATAAATTCAAAGTAAACATCATTACATAAAAGGGTACGGTCTTTTTTTTCAATAGTTTTATTCATTTCAAACGGGCCGGATCTGGCCCACGGGCCATAGTTTGCCCACAGCTGTGCTAGGTAGTTTACACATGTTATCATTAATAATCACAGCAATGTAAATATTATTGCCATCTTATGGATAGGGAAACTTAGACTCAGTAAAGTTAAATAAACTAAGGACACAAAGCTATTGTATGGTAAGTCCAGAATTTTATTCACATTCTTTTTTAAAAATATAGTTTTATTGATTTCAGAGAGGAAGGGAGAAGGAGAGAGATAGAAACAGCAATGATGAGAAAAAAATCATAGATCGGTTGCCTCCTGCACACCCCACACTGGAGATCAAGCCCGCAATGAGGGCATATGCCCTGAACAGGAATCCAAACTTGACCTCCTGGTATATAGGTTGACACTCAACCACTGAGCAACACCAGATGGGCTCACATTGCCATTTCTTGTCCACGTTTCCTCCACTGCTACTTCTTTTTGTTCTCCACCCTTTCTCTGCCAACAAGGCAGTCTCCTATCCAAAATTCAGCACTTTAGAAACCAAGGTGTATGCAGAGTGCTGGGCACACAGTGGGAGTGCAACGAAATTTAATTTTATTACCCCTAAAACTATCAGATAAATATTAACCTTATATCCTTAACAGAATTAGTAGAAACTCTTTAGTTAAAGACTACTCTTCAATTCCAAATAACTTGCAAGCAAATCTCATTTGGAGGAGACAAAGTCAAACCCTTGCATTTAAGTAGCCAATTCAAATGTAAGGACTTTAAAATTTACCAAGTTCTTATTCTACATTTTTATTAGCTTTTAAGAAAGGAGTAAGTAAAAAAGAAAACCAAAAAACACCCACAAAAACTCACAGACAGCCAACATTATGGTGGATTACCAGAGGGAAAAGGGGGTAGGGGTGGTAGAGGAGGGTAAAGGGGGGGATAAATGGTGATGAAGGAGACTTGATTCAGGTGATGAACACACAATACATTATACAGATAATGTATTATTGAACTATACACTTGAAACCTTTATAATTTTATTAACCAATGTCACCCTAATAAATTCAATGTGAAGACCAAGGTGGGCAGGGGCTGGGTGGAGGGGGGAAATGGGGAACAACTGAAGTAGTGTCAACAATAAAAAAGTACAAGGGAAAAAAGAGAAAAAGAGTAATTTCACTCTAATCAATGAATTATCAACCAAGAGAGATACAGTTGCTCTTTTAATCAATATAAAATCTAAGAACCACAGCAGGAAGGAATCACAGGAAGGAATATTAGAGTTCATCTAGTTCACTTTTGTCTCAGCGCACTCTGCCAAGTTGGCTTCCAACTCCTACCTCTATACTATCATTTGACTAAGTAACTAGTACAAGGTTATAAAGCTGGTAGAGGCAAAGAAGAGTCTAAAATCTCCTGAGTTCCAGTTCAGTCTTCTTTCCATTAAGCCACCCAGGCACTCAATTCAAGTGCTCTCTAGGCAGTGTTAGACACAATGTTTTAGGAGAAAAAACACACAAAAATCCCTGTAAGTACTTAAATAAATAGATTCATTTCTCCAGTAACTCCTAAAAGGCTAATCCTATTAGCTAAACTTGACTGAGAAAGATGTTTGTGTCTTTATAGGCCTTATTTCATTTCATCCTCAAGGCAAACCTATAGGAGTAGTTCTTAGTTCTTTCCCATTTAATTGTTGAGGGAAATCAGACTCAGACTTCAAATAAGTTGTCCAAGGTCACAGAACTAGTAAGCAATGGAACCGGAATTCGAAGGCCTGACTTGAGGCCCAGCTGTCAACAACTGTGATATATTGCTATTATGTCTTTATTTTTCTTCCAAAAATTGTTTCTTTGTCTTTTCAATTAAGGAAAAGGTTTCTGGAAGGATAACTGCAGAGGGAAAAATTGTAACCCACATCATTTCCAGAAATTAAAGACCCACTTTGACTACTTTTCCCAAAGTCTAGGCTTTTGCTGTCCTTATGCATACACCTCTTCTTTTTTCAATAACATTAATCACCTCTTTGTCACTTTTCAAAGGCAAAAGAAAGCACTGATACCAACAAACACTTGGGCCCTGAGACCCCTGGGCAGAGAAGAGCCCAAGAGCAAAGCAAAGTCGCCACCAAAACTGCAATGAGGTTAACAGGGCACAGTAACACAATCTTTGTACCTGATACTAGGAAACATGAAGAGAAAAACAGGGAGAGGCGAGGGGAAAATCTGCTGCAGGCCTGAGGCTGTTAAACAGGAAAGGAGTGAGGAAGAGATTTTCAGGAAGCCTTCTCCCAAGACATTTCAAAGCCAATGTCCACCACCAATTAATCCAATGCAAGGCACCCTTGTTGAAACACCAGGTAAAGGCGACACAAAGAGCCCCAACACTCCTCCAGTTGCCAGTCTCCGCATTCTGTTTGTCTTACCCTTTTCTACCGGAGAGACAAATTGTAAAGGGGTTTTCCGCCCAACCCCCAACGCAGGGTAAATCGCCCAGAGAAGAGGCCCCTGTTTCATTCCGTGGGGACAGAACGGGCACTGATTTTCTTTCGGAGCAAAGGGAGAGGAGGAGGAGAGCATCGAGGAAAATAAGAGAAACTGGCCTTGGAAGGGGTCTGAAAAGGCACAATTTAGTAGCTGCACTCACCCGGGTGAGACATGGGGATGACCTCATTGCGAGTCCCTGGGAAGTTAAAGATGACGGCTCCAGACGCCCCTCTCTCTTGAGCCAGATGGATCTTGTCTGCGAAGGTGCAGCCCCCTCCGCGCTGGATGAGGGCCAACCAAGAGACATGAACGTTGCGTCCCCAGTCCCCCGGGACCGTGGGCACCGTGAAATTCGTGTGCGGGTTACAGGCATTGAGAGCCCCTGGCCCGTCGGGCGGTACCAGGACCCCAGCCACTGGCTCGAGCGGCGAATCCTGGCCATACACGCCCTCCTCGCTCAGCTCCCACACGGTGCGGTTCACTCCGGTGTGCGGAACCCGCCAGGACACGTTGAGGTACGCGGTCCACACAGCTTCGGCTCCCCGGGAGCCGGGAGCTTGCGGACTCAGGGCCAGCAGAAAGCACCACGCCAGCAACCGGGAAAAGCCGCAGCTACCGCGGTAGGACCCGGCCCTGCCGGGCGGTGGCCCCATGGC